CCCCAAAACCCCCAAAACCCCAAAACCCCTCAAAGAAAACAGACTTCAATTGTGAAGCTTAAATTTAGTTTAAAAACAATTGTTTAATTTATATAATAGTCACTATAGAATGAGGGTAGATCGCCCACTTCCTCTTACAATATTTTTTTCTTTGTTCACATATGGATTCTAATTGACCCAAGGAATGGGGTTTGTAATGGGATTATACTTATCAGGATCAATTGCATTCTCCTTCTTTTCTATGATTTTACTTTTAACTTCATTAGTCATTGGGCTCTAATTGTGGTAAGGCAAAAGAACTCTCATGCTTTGACTCTAGCCTAGTGTTCGATGATTTTATTGCTCGCTAGCAGAGTGCAAATCAGTATTGGATGTTGATTGTCTAGTTTGATTCAGGATTTAGGTCGCACCTCTTTTCAAAGGTGATGTTCCAACAGTGTTTAAGTTATGAATGCCAGGAATCATAGCTTCAAATTAGTGAGCATCATTAGCTTTGTAATTGTGAAGATCAAGTTTATTCATTCTCTTCTCTTCATTAGTCATAGTACCATATTTGTGTTTCTGCATGTCAAGAATCTTCATTTGATGATCAAGAGTATCCTTATAAATTTTTCTTCTCTCTCTATCTTAATCCTTCATAGTCCTTTCGAAGTTTCTGTAATCAGTTTCCTCAACATGTCTATCCTCAATAACCTTTCTCATATCATTTTTATCCTAATTGATTTTACTCATCTATTGTTCCATTAGATTTCTGTTTGTATTGTGCATGTCTCTCAGTCCCTGCATCCTGATATCCTTCTCAAATTTCTCCTTTTGTTCTTGCCATACCTTGTACCTTTGTTCATTTGACATTTCTATTTAATCTTATTTGCTTTATTTCGTAACTTCTTCCTTTAATACATGATCGATATGCTGATTCATTCTTCTTTGCATGTCTTGTTCAAAGTCTTTAAAGAATCTCTTGTATTATTCCTCTCTATCTATCTCCTTTTTAGAATTCTACTCACATAGCTGCTGCCATTCTTTTCTGTTTCTCTCTAGCAGTTATCTTTCCTGGTCAGTCATAACTCCTTTGTATTTTAAGGCGAGATCCATTTCGATTCTTAATTTTTCCTTGTTTTCATATTATCTTCTTTTTTCCACTTCCAGATCTCTCTTGATTCTATCTTGTCTATTTTTTTCCTCTTCGATTTCAACATCTCTATCGAATTTTTTCTTTACATCATGCTCAGTGATATTTTACTAGTACTAATTTTTTAAATAACCTTAGTAACTCTTTTATTCAACGGATTGTTATTGGTTTAACTGTTTCAGTACTTGTTCTTTCTGCAAAATAAGGTCATATTCATGCTTCTTAAGAGTTTAATCTTGCATCTTTTGCTGTAGTTTTTCAAGTCTTTAGTGGTCTAAGAACTGTTAATATTCCTCCTTCTATTTCTTTTACTTATCTTTTTTTTCTAACTCCATTACCTGATGTCTGGCAGTCATATGTTTAACCATTGCTCCCCACTCATCAAGCTTGCCCTCTCTATCTGCGGGATAATAATGGCCACCTTTGTTCTCATATTCCAGAACCTTATCATGCTTAGTATCTAAATCAGCTTCCTTCTTTTACCCGTATGCTCTTGATTTTAAGCTATCATTGATTCCCCACTCCATGATTATTATAGTATTATGCAAAGAAATATAAATTTATAAATTAGTAATATAGAAAAGTGATTTAGATTAAAACTTAAAGAATCAATAAATATAGAGGTCAAAACATTAGATAAATTAAGGAAGATAGATATTGATTACCAAACAACAGATTTGATTAATATAAATGCCTTGATGTATTCTATATTAAGAGGTATATTCATATCAACAGCACTTTCTGCTACCTTTCTTTCCATGCTTTTTATTATTACTAAGTGCAAACTTTTTAGCAGCTGCTCCGTCTGTGATTTTTTACGGTCTATGTTTGAATTATTATTTTGGTTAAAACTTACAGAATAGACTAATCTTAAGCCATAACTTGCTTTAAAAGTTACTGTGCTATTCTATTAAATGCTATTTCTACATTCGATCCATCCATAGCGGAGGTTTCCTCATAAGGAATGTTATTATTCTTTTTCAGCCATTCTTCTACTTTAGCTACTGGAATCTAAATACACTTTAGTTTAATGAAAACTTACTTTTCGTTCATTAGCCTTATCTACTTTATTGCCAAAGACGAAAAATGGGAAGTTATCAGGATCCTTCGGATTAGCTTTAACTAAGAAATCTTATTTCCATATAGTCAAGTTCTCAAAACTTCTTTAGTTCAAAATATCATAGACTAGCACACAAGCTTCAGCTCCTCTGTAAAAAGCCACTCCCAGACTCTGATATCTCTCCTGGCCAGCTGTATCCCATATCTGTAAAGTCACATGCTTTAATTCATCACCCTCCATGATCTCTAGCTTTTTACTGTGAAAATCTGCTCCAATTGTAGGCTTGTAAACCTGTGAAATACTCTTTCGGATGTAACTATAATTAATCAGATTAATCCCTATCGACAATTCATATCATGACTTTCTATTCTAAAACTGTTCACTACTTACTTCTATATTATAGATGTCTTTCCTACTCTAAAGAAATAGTTTAAAATCGCATTTATATATCATATAGGCATTTAGTACTTACGCGCAGTCACCTAAGATAATGATCTTAAAGATATGATTCTTGCGGAGCCCCACTTATTGCGAATTAGCTTTAGGTTCCATTATAATAGTTTGCTATTATTATTTTTCAATTTATAATATAAGCAATCAAATTTAATATAAATAAAATATCTGTTTATTTATTTTACTATCTTTACAACCCAGCAATCAATATGAGTTTACTTGATTTCAAAAACAAGTTCTAAATTGAGAACCCCAAGAAATCCCAAGACATATTCGAGAACAATTTCTTCAGATGGACTTCAGGAAACTTCTACAGAACTTCCTATAATGATATGGGATCAAAGGTATAAATATTTAGACATTTTAATTATATTTTAGAGCCCAGTTGAGAGAAAGAATGCAGCCATTCCAGGATACAAAGGATTTGTTCCAGGCCTAAAGAATGGCACTCTTATTGGAAAGAGATTTACCGAGTCTACTAGGTAGAGTCTTACCAGAGATCTAGATGAGAAGGTTCAACTATACTCATCAACAGGGTAATCACATTATTTTATGCAAATTGAGATGTTTATTTTATTTAGATTCAACTTCAGCAAAATTCCAAGACAAGATGAAACCCTACATGCAGTCAGCAATAAATATGGAAAAACAACTATAATGGACTCTGCTCCAAATTACAAGCCTGAGACATGGGATACTAATGCAAGAGCTTCATACTTTAATCCAAATACATTACCAAAGGAAAACTGGAGAGCCAAGGAAAGTGGCAAACCATTTGACGATCAAAGCAGACCTATTGACAACGCAAATAGAAGTAAAAGAGTGAATAGTTCTGGATTCACCTAGAACAGCACACTTTTCGACGGCACCACTTGGAAAACAGAGTCTAATTTACATGGAGATTAATTGAGAACATCCTATAGAAATCAATATAACGTAGATAAGCCATTCCACAAGATTCAACCAATTGTTAACCCTGGCCTTCTTAAGAGAAGAGAATTAGTCTATGACAAAGAATGAGCAACTAGGGAAGAAACAAATGAGTTAATTGCAACATTCAAGCTAAACTTGTCATTCTGAAAATATGCTTAAATGCGAGCAGTATTTGTATTAATTTCTAAGTATTTATTATCAGGTTTTCAAAGTCTCTCCAGACGCTATCTTATTTATGTAGATGGGGTTTTGGGGTTTTGGGGTTTTGGGGTTTTGGGGTTTTGGGGTTTTGG